TTTTTTTTATATTATTTATTTATTTTGACGTATGAAAACTATAGGAGAATAATTTTCTTTCCTTATTATTTTACTGAACTATTCAGAATAGATGTAAAAAAAAGAAATGCGTGTGTAACACCGTTCACATGATAGAAGTGAAACTTCTTAAAAAAGGTGTGAGTACCAGGTACCTACTCACGAAATTGGATGTGTAAACATATGCTTACGGTTCGGCAAACCATTAGGCGATTGAGTTACATACATAGGTTTGGTTAGAAATCAAACAATAATTTCATTTCATCTTATTAATTTTCTGATATACATATAATTTATTTATTCATTTTCCGGTAACACATCCTTATATGAATTCGCGCTTCTAGCATCCATAGGACCGGGTTGTAATGGAAGTAATTGTATGTTTAACAAATAAATGAAAATGTTTATAATGCCATCAATAGATCCTTACGAATTCGCCATTACCAAGGGATTAAGTAACGTACGCATTTTTGTTTACAAAATGCATTTTTTTAAGTTGAAAGAAGACAAATTCCTTTGTTCGGCATTTATTCTTACTCGCTTTCTATCTTCCAAGGCGAATTCATATATTCTTATTACGCATTCATATATTGATGTGGCAACAAGAGTATAAAAACATAAAATTACCTTATAAATTAAAAGCATAAGTATCACATGTATGTATGCGTAGTCCAATTCACGAAATCATTTCATCGATCTGAGTAAAAACAAATCATGAATTGGTGTTCATTCATTCAGTTTCTACTCAAACGCATGAAATGATTTCATGAATTGGCCTACGCATAATGGTAGTAAATGACAGAATGAATTACAGCAAACACATCCTTTTGAAATAATGCAAGCCGAAAACGTTGTTTCAAATCAATCCGAAATCAAGTTGGACGTTTTGCCTACAAACATTGCAATTTTACGAGCAGTCTCATTGTAAAATCTCATTTTTACAATTTCATAATTTCGGGTTACATTTATAAAATTCTACGAAAGCACGAACCTATTTCGGCAAATTAAATGAGTTTGTACAACATGGCCATTAATGTAGCGATAAGTTGTACAACTTGCCAGAAAATCCAAATTTTTTGATCTTGGTTGTATCCAAGACATAAATTCATTCAACAGGCCCACAAACGGTGCAATCTAGAGCAAAACAACACCAAGTTGAACCAACGCTCGCTACGTTTATGGCTTTCTTTAAGAAACATCGGGCGAAAATTTCAACTACCCCTGTAACACTACCGTATATAAGTTGGCCTTGCTATCATCCTCACATATCGTCGTTTAAAGTACAAAAACCGCGTATCGTCATTCTGCGAAACCGCGTAACTGACATTGGCTGCCAAAAATTGGATTTGCTCACACAAGCTCTTGGCTCAATCCTTATCCATTCGTGCTGAAATATGCTAGCGAGAAATGCGATTGCTTTATAAAAATGATGACCATTTTGAAATATTAGTGTTTTTACTCCCTAGAAAATAATTTATGCAATCTCACATACGCGGTTTTGCATTTTGTTGATACGCGGTTTTGCACTTTAAACGATGATATGTTCATCAGAGTATACCAACGAAGGACGAGTTAATACAAGGAGATAGCGAGAGCACAAAACTACTCTACAAAATTACACGCCCAATGACAAACATGAACAAATGTACAATAAAAACATAGGCGCATATTCATAGTCCAGCAACTAAGTCGAAACTAACAAAGTTGCAACTTAAATTTAAGTACCAACTTAAAATTTACCTCTATTCATAGTCGCATTTCAGACTTCTACTAAGTAGTTTCGACTTAGTTTACGATATAGCAAAACGAGTGTGAAAATGTATCGATTTTTCTTTACGATATTTTGGAAAAATTACATTTTTATTAAATAATGTCAAGTTTGATCATCCGTTTATGTAATTTTTATTTCCATTGCATGATTATGCAAAAGAATAAGGTATCATTTTCTTGTTAATTGTGTGAAATAGCCAGAACAACCGCAGTGATGTGAAGTCGATGTTTATCGAAGCATGCTGTGAAACATACAAATAGTAGATATCTAAATGTTATGCACAAATTTACTTTAAAAGAACTAGCGTGAAACTGACTTATTATTTGAGAATTTATCTAAATTATTCCAATTATAAAATTGTGATGTAGCTTTATTCGAATTGTAATACGCATTTAATTTCATCTTCCGATTAAAATGGATCGATCTTTGTAAATTTTAATTGGAGATTATTCAATATTATCAAATTCACCCTCTACCAACTTAATTTTTACATATTTCGTCTGTTTTCCCTTAATTTGATAAAACACTTCTTCCTAGTTACGACTTAGTTGCAGCTGCAGCCGAAACTAAATTTTAAGTTGGTACTTAGCCAAAAAAAGTCGAAACTAAGGCGACTATGAATAGCTTTAGTTGTGACTTAGAATAGTTTCCACTTAGTTGAGTACTAAATATGACTATGAATATGCGCCATAATTTTTGACAATCAGTACAGTTCGCATTTATATCAACGCGCAGCTTATTAGATTTGTTTCCGTTTGTACTACATACATATGTGCATACCCCGTGGGGAATATCTCTAGTTCTGAACTGGTGCGCTTCTAGTACATTAAGATCCAGTACTGGTTCGCGATAAATCTCTTTTGCATGCAAACAACTGGCGAAATTAACATGGCGATGTCCTAGGAAGTGTCAATTGCCCCCCCGATGCATCCCTTTTTCGATAGTTCCGAACTAGTCCTAAATTCTATAGTTCCGAACCAGTTCTAAAATCGACAGACGAAAGAAAAAAGTATCATGATTTTTCCATCTTTTTGGTTCTTCCGTGTCTGCGATTTTAAGTTATTTTAGAAGGAATATGTTTTCAATTTGAAATTAAATTAATTGTAAGAAATGTACGTTTACATACCTTTAGCTTTAGCTGAGTTTACAGAGGTGCTCGCTGTTATTTATTAGATTGCAGACGGTCCCAAGATGTTGAAATGTTAACACAAATTTTAGTTTTGTATTACCAAGCTATGAAAAAGCATCTTCGAAGCACAGAACAGAAGCGTATTTAAACGAAAAAGCCGCCGAACACATATCTATGTAAAGTAAACAAGCCTCCGCTGCATCCCTTATTCGATAGTTCCGAACTACTTCTAAATTCGACATATAAGATCTAGTTCGCTCTTTTTTTATAGTTCCGAACCATTTCTAAATTCGTCACTTTAGATATAGATTTCAAAAAACTGAAAAAAATAAGTTTTTTAAGTACCACTTTTCGCCGATTTTGGACTGGTGCGGATCTAGTTTCTATCGGACTAGTTCCTTTTTGGCGATAAAGTCCTAGTACGGAACTAGAAATTTGATTCACTAGTCCGCGATTTCCCTGCAGGGTATATACATGTACACAAACATATGTACATACGTACAAATATCCCAGTCGAAATCGGTTATATACATTCTTGAAGAATGCTTGCTATATGAGTGAATTAGTGTGAACAATTCATGCGTAGTCATGAATTTCCACGAATAAATTCAAATTCTAGCGAATTGCACGTTGTCGTTGTTTTAAGTACATTTCTTGATAAATTTGAAGTGGAATTTTTGTAATATGTTCAGTCTTGTGCAAAAATTTTAGTGAACGGACGTGTTCACAAACGGGTATTTTCAAGATATGCATTTGCATATGTAAATGCTACTTGTTTGTATGTCCCCGTATATTAAAATGTATCAGAAAAGTAGCATTTACATATGGGGATACGTATCTTCTAAGAATGCTTTAATACTGTTCCATTAATGCATTTTTGTATGTTTGAAACATTAATACAGCCATATGCATACAGCAGTAGTAAAAGTGTGTGATTAAGGTACGCATACGCTCTGAGAAACCACGCGTGTTAAATGGAAATGAAGGTTCATTTATACTGGCATGTATACACAGCAGCAAGCTCATGCTACCAACAGCGATGTCGTATGCATAAAATTTCTACTGGGATATATACAACCATTCAAACATATGAAAACATTGCTGTCCATAAGTACATACATATGCCCATCAGTACATCAATGAAGCCCGTTTGCTTCATCATAAATATATCCATACAAACATATGTACATATGTACGAATGGATGTAGTTACGCGAAGCACGCTTGCATCGTTTATATATTGCTTGGTAGCGGCAGAGCTGAAATGCGCAATGAGTTCGTTCATACATTAATATATATGTATACTAGGGCGGGTCGATTTGTAGGGGCCCAAAAAAATTAACATGGGCACATCACGATTATGATTATTTGGGTGATTTCAAGCATTTTTGCCCAAGAAACCATAGGTCTAAAATGAATTTCGAGCCAGCGATTTTTTCTATTCGGCGAATTCAGCGTACATGCATAATTGGTTAGGTATGTATGTATTTATATGTATGTATGCAGATATTTAAATGCCGGTTTGCTATTCGCGCGACAAGCTTTTTTAAAAACGAAGTAAATTAGTACAAATTGTTAGTAATTTTCATTAGAGTTTGAATAACTCCTTTCACTAAATGGCTTTTAGTAACTGTAACGAGACCTTAACTTATTTTATTTTATTCATTTTAGTGCAGTTTTGACAAAATTTTCTTGCTAAAAAATCTTTTGTTTCACTACTTTATTTTATTCCTTTGATTAAACATGTTAAATAAAAGCTTATTTTTAAAAAAATATTTTTTTTACATTACTTTATTTATAAATTGTTTTTGCTTTGCTAGCCGGCAATTACAAGTACCTGATGAAGATCTTGCAGAAGCAATGAGCTTATAGGCCTTTCGCACGAGGCGATTTTTCAGGCAACTTTTAGTTGAAAGTAAAAATCGCCTCGTTCGAACGGCCTTTCAACTAATCGCTTTCAACAAAGTTGGTCGCCAGCCAACTTTGAGCTCGTTCAACTTTTTTTCCGTGCAACCCTGTGTTTGTTTACATTCTGTATACATACCACCATTTTGAAATTGTATTCTGGCGTGGCTTGTTTTATTAAATTTGGGAAAAATATATTTAAAATGAATAAAATTAATGTGATTTCGTTTTTGGAGGTGTACGAGAAGCACCCATGTTTGTGGGATCCGCGAAATAAATTGTATAAAAACCATTCATTTCGAACATCAGCTCTGAATGCCATAAAGCAGGAGTTGTCTCTAACCCTGTCTACGGAGGAGCTAAAAGGGAAAATTAAGAGCTTGCGTACAATGTATACAAGGGAAGCAGCTAAAGTGGCATCGTCCAGAAAGAGTGGGGCTGGTACGGACGATTTGTATGTCCCAAGGTTGTCATGGTTCGAGGTGGCGGACCGATTTTTGAAGCCAGTAGCAGAAGGAAGGCCCTCAAAAACTAATATGGTAAGTATTTTTAAATATCTTTCAATATATGGGCAGTTCCGGTACGGGCGTTGCATGTCATAAATAGCCATTCATTTTCAGTCAGTAATTAATTAATAAATTCAACGAGTTCTTCCCAAATACAGTGTGGATGGTTGACGGGTACTGCTTAGCTATTTGCCTAATGATTTCGGGCTATTGTTTCCGAATGGTTGATCCGATCCAAAAAAATTCTACACGCACTTGTAGTCAAGGGTCCAAACTTCATTTTGAAACTTAACTTTATAATTTTCAGTCAGTAATTAATTAATAAATTCAACGACTTCTACGCAAATACCTTTGAGAATGGAAGAGGTCCAGTGGATAAAAGACACCTTTACTTAAATAATTCAACACCCTGCTTGGATTTTTTATTAAAACTAGTATCGTCCAGTGGGATTAAAAAACATAGTAGGGCTGTCCAGGATGTTGTGGAAATGGACTTCGATTTGCAGTTGGAATTGCATTTGCAAATTTTTTGCTTACTGCCATGCAAAGCGTGTGCATTTTATTGTTGTGATTTTACAAATGCAAAGAATATGCAAATCCAAGAGCGTATCGAAATATGTATCTGAAGTCAGGCATTGATTTTGCTTTAATTATTAGGTTTTCATTAAATAACGTAATTTCATCAAAACAAAAAGCAGGAACTGCTGTTGGCATCGCTGAAGTTTTATTTGCCACTGCAAATTAGAAACTCTGCTGTTGTACAAAGTTTACGTATTTACATGGTTTTTGTTAGACTAGGCTTTATTTTTACAAAAAAATTAATTACTTTTAAACGAACAAAAAGAAAACTATGAATACTGATGCTCTAATCAAGTGACCTGCAGTATATGTATATCGTTACCTTAATATAGAAAGGCCCTAACTCATTTTCATTTCGAGTTCAGATTTATACAAAATCTGTCAAATAGCTCACAATATATCTAATAGAAATTGAAAACAAATATTACAGCGTTAGATAAAAATATTATGTTTAATAAAAAGTTGTACATTGAAGGTACTCATCTTCAAAGTTGAATATCTCTGTCATTAGTTAAGCTATTTAGATAAAACTAAAAATAATTAAAACACAGATACTTCGGTTTCATGCCAACAATAAAGACTTATCTCAAATAAATACGCTTACCTTACGTTGTGTATGCTCTAAAATACAACAAACTCTCTGAATAGAAGGCTTGGAGACATGCCAGATACCGAGGGTTGCTGAACTTAATACTAATTTGTATTAAATAGTTAACTTTTTAACCAGTTAATCATTTTGAACTTAGTGGAAAATTTTTTGTTTGCTTTCGAAAAATGGTGATTCTTTGGTTTGTTACAGTTTCAGAGCTAAGCGTAGTCATTCGAGATAAATACGTTCAATGTACAACTTTTTTTTTGGTTCACTGTATCTATGTTAATATATGTGATATGTATGTACATTCACATTTGGTAGCACATATAAATTTTGGTCCCGATTGGAGTCGCTATAGTAGTAGCGATTTTAGGTACTAGATGAAAACAATAATATTAATTTTTTGAGTCTCCATAGAGGAATCTTAACTTTGGCCCCTGTCCGACACACCTTAACCGTCTCCAATGGTTTGCAACTTACTCCAACGCGCACAAAGGCGCAACAGGAAAAATCTGCGAACAAATGGTTCATTAGGTTTTGAAACAACAAAGAGCTGGTTGCAACTTACTCATCTGCACGATGGTGCACACAATCAAATTCGGCTGCAGCTGCAGTTCCCCAGAGGATGCTGCAAATGGAATGGTTCATGAATAAAGTCAAAATAATATGTTTTAGCTTACGTGTATTAGCTCTTAATCACAATACCAGCACAGGTCGGCCAGGAAACAGTAAGGAAATGGCCTAATAAATGCAAAACCAACCTATAACACCTTTCATTATTGCATCAAGGTTTTATTTATAGTAACTTCGTTTTGACATTTGACATGAGAACCCTGCACCGCCACCAAAGATTACAACACATTTACATGTGGAGCTTTTAAAGAAAAATTGTGCCGAGTTTCAACTCAGCATTGATTTATATTTTGATTCATGCGCTTATGCATAAATATACGAACCTTGATTAGAAAGAAATGATACTCTTCGTGATTTTATCAACATATGAAAATTAAACTAAATATTTAGTTTTCCAGTTTCAATTTTTAATGCATATAATGTGAATAAGTTTACATTTAGTCAAGTTTAGATTTAGTCAAGTTTAGATTTAGTCAAGTTTAGTTAGAAAACTAACAAACAAAAGAACAACTTAATGGCTTAACAAACCATTTTGTCTTGCCAAGGAACAGCTCCTGACCCTACAAAATAGTTAGCGAATTTATCGCGAAGTTCCTTTGCACTTCTCGAGTAGTTGTTTGAAGACAATTGCGTCGTTAGTTCTTGTAAGCCCCCTGAAGGAATGCTTCTCCAACTTCCTTGCTGAACTGCTCCTGTGTTTATGTCTTCCTGATCGACTAAGCCAGTTTCATTTAAATTGCTTGTCCGGAGCCAATTATGGAGTGCGCATGCCGTTTTAATTATGCTGTCGGTTTTGTCTAGGGACACAGATATAGGCTTTCGAAAAACTCGAAATCTACAAGCCATTATTCCAAAGGCATTTTCAACAATCCGTCTAGCTCTCGACAGCCGGTAATTGAAAATCTTTTCCTTGTGAGGCAATGCATCATGCCTGGAATACGGCTTCAAGATCCTCGTTGTTAAGGGGAACGCGTCATCGCCAACGAAGACACCCTTAGTTGGTAATCCCAACTCATCCTCCTGCAGTTCTTTATAAAATCGGGACTTCTTCAAAATGCTTGCGTCATTCATGCGCCCATTCGTACCGACATCAATATATAAAAAACGGTAGTGTGCATCGACTATGGCGAATAGCACCACGCTGTAAGTACCCTTGTAATTGTAGTAATCCGATGCTCCATGCGGTGGGTTATCTATTACAACGTGCTTCCCGTCAATAGCGCCACAACAGAAAGGGAACTGCCACTTATCGTTAAAATCCTTTTGCACCTCTAACCATTGTTCTGTTGTCTTAGGAACCTGAAATAAAAATAAAAAAATATAAGTATATATAAGTATCTTTAAATTTTTCTTTTTTATTGCAGATCGACGTCAGGGAAAGTGATGCGTCCTTTTTCGATGATGAGCCATCGGGATCACAGACTTCCTCCCAGGCTAAAAAAGCGAAAAGGACCACACAGGCTAAACACCGGTCGCAGGAGGTTCAACCAATTTTGGAGGCGGTGACAAAATTACAAAACATATCGCATACGAAACAGCCGGATGAGTTTGAGGTATTCGGGAGTCACGTGGCAAACCAGCTGCGAAATATGCCTCTGGAAGAAGCGATTTCTTCGCAGGCTTTTATAAGCAATTATTTGTCTCAGCGTCGCCTGAAAATATTGAGAGCTACAGCAATGGGTAGTTTCCGACCAGAGAGCTCGGAATCGGGAAAATATTCAATATATTCGGCACAAAGCTCTAGCGTAATACCGGATGTGTATGAAGACGATTCGTTTATTGACGACAGTTTCTTCATACAAGATACGGTAGAAGTAGAAACGGTTGAGCAACAAGACGACGAATACTTCTGAAACTTTTTTTTTTTAAATATGTATGTCTTATAAAAATGAATTAATAAAAAATGTTTTTAGTATAAAAAATGAAATAAAGGGTGTAATTCTTTTATTTGGAAGTTTATGAGAATTATAAGAAATATTCAGCCTCAAAGTTATTTGAATGGAGTAGGTAACGTCGATAGCGATGTTTAACTTGAGATTAGGGTTAACCAGAGATGGTGAAAACGGGCATAAGGGCCATTTGCTCAAAGCCTGGTTGACTCTAATCTCCGATTAAAATCATTATCAACGTTACCGATACCGTGTTATATGCATGGAGTCGATGTTTACACAGGGCACTGGGCCGTGAGAATCCATGCTGCAAGACTAGGACTGCATCACAACACTTCTTGTCGTAGCTGTAATCCACCAGATGCAGAATATATGGTGGAGCGTCTGCTCTGTGATTTTCCAACACTATGTAGGACTACAACCAAGGAGATATTTACTACCCACCCCAGATTTTCCACCGCCGGCCCTAGTCGCACTGCATCACTTTCACCGATTACCGTAAAACTAAACCTGCTTATATTTACCTGAATATATTCTTGCAGAACAGCATAAATGCTATCAAGCACTTCTTTTAGGAGCTCAGAGATAGTTGACCTTGGAACTCGAAAGCTCTCTGACAGGCTTAAATAGTTGTCGCCCGTGGCCAAAAACTTCAAAGCAATTTGTAGTTTTATTCGAGGCGTAAGTGCCTCACGCATTATTGTGTCCTGCTTTTCAATAAGCGGCGCCACTTTTGCAAGCAAATCTTCGAATTGTGCAGGGTTCATCCTCAAGCATTGCTTAAAATAGTTAACATCTTCGGATGCCAACTCCCGGTATAAGTTATCAGATGCACCCAATTCTGCACGCCTTCGGATCCACTTGCGCACCCACATTTTCCGCTTTTTTACTTTTAGTTTATCTTTCAGCATCGCTAAAAGCACTTTTACCAACGCTTGGCTTACCAAATTTACGCCAATTGATAAAATTTGGCGATTTAAACTCATTTTAAATAATGTAAACAACAATTCGAGTTGAATCGAAAATCGCCTCGTCTGAATAGGGATGGCAACTTTTTCACTTTCAACTTCTCATTCAACTCCGCATTCAACTTTTGTTGCCTGAAAAATCGCCTCGTGCGAAAGGCCTATTAGCCGACGACGTTTTAAAGGAATTTGAGGAAATGTGACAAGATGCAGAAAAAAACTTTCATTTGCTCTTCGAACACGTAGAAGAAGTATGCACCAACCTAGGTACAGAAATCAAAGTACCGTGATACAGCAGTCGCCAAAAGAATCGCTTTAATGTGAAAACCGGAGACGCCGAGGCATACTATCGCATTGCTTTTTACATTCCCTTCCTTGATACATATGTATATTGCTCATTTGAAAAGCCGGTTCCTAAACCATAAATCAGTTTTAAATAATTTTAGTGTTTTGTTTCCAAAGTATGATTTTAACGAAAAAAAGTGAAGAACTGTTTGCTTTCTATGAAAAAGTAATCGACTGCTCGAAACAAAACTTTCTTCTGGAGGTAAAAATGTGGAAAAAACAAGTTTCACACGAACATTTTCGAAATGCTCTCGAAGCATTACAAGTAGCTAACACAACGTCTTTTGGAAAGGTTTTTAAGATCTTACCTTTATTGGCACTTTTGCCCATTTCAATAGCCACACCTGAACGAAGCTTTTCATGCCTGAAAAGAATTAAAACCTACCTGAGAAATACAACATGTCAAGAAAGGCTCAACGGTCTAGCATCTATGAATTTTCACAAAGATATACATTTTTCAGTTGACGAAGTCCTAGAAGAATTTTTCAAAAAACCACGGAAAATTTGAAAATTCTTCGTTTCATTGATTTATAACTAAAAAGGAAAATTTAATGTGTTTACAATTATCAAAATATTTTATAAATAAAGAGAAAAATTTAATATATGATTTTAAAAATTCGTATTTGAAACTTTCTTCTAAATTGCCTTTTTTCTATACCCATATTAATGAAATATTACTCTTTGACTTGACAAATTACCCTCGATACCATTAGCACATAACTCCAACGTAAAAGAAACTTATGAAGTAATGAAACTTTTATTAGAAAAAATTAACGTAATTCTCTAGTATCGCGCGATTTTTTATTAACAATTTTCGCCTGCGGCCTTTTCCATAAAAATCAATACTTCGAGAAATAATGAAAATTTTTAATAAAAAATCGCGCGATAATATTAGCCCTCCCCCTCCAGATTGTTAATAGGGGGGCCGAAACGCGTCGTTTGGTATCCCTCCCGGACCTTTTTTAGGGGTTGTTACCCTATACTAGAGAATTACCAAAATTAAATACAAAAATTTTGAGTGGATTATATGTTCCCATTTAAAGTTAGTTGCGTTGCTCTTGGGACTATAACTTGGGTATACTAATTTCTGCTCTTTTTTGTGTGAGTGGAACAGTCGAGCGCGAGAAAAATGGCTGGAAAGAACATTATTCAAACCAGTACAGAAAAACGTTAAATATGAACCACATGTGGACCCCAAACAAATTTTACTACCACCTCGGCATATAAAACTGGGCTTGATCAAAAACTTTGTTAAATCCATGGACAAAAGTTCGCTTGGTTTTGTCTACCTAAAGAAAAGGTTTCCTTCTCTGAGTGAAGCGAAAATAAAATAAGCTATTTTTGTATGTCCAGATATAAAGAAACTTATCAACAATCTGCAATTTTTATCGTGCGTAAACGATATAGAAAAAGAGGTCTGGCTCTCATTCATAGATGTGACCAAACATTTTCTCGGGAATAACAAGTCTCCTAACTATGCCGAAATAATTCATTACTATGTGCATATCAAATGATGCACTCATAAATGGTTTATTATGACTTTTGCTAAAATTTCAAAATCAAAAGTTATCAAAACAAGTTCTATGGGATTGAGAAATTTTTTCTTTTCTAATTTTTAGTCCATTTACAAAAGCGTGGTATATTAGACAGTTTTTTTTATACCCGAGCGCACTTGTGCACAAGGGTATATTAATTTTGTTCACATAACGGTTGTTTGTAACAGCCAAAACGAATCGAGATAGATATAGACAAATGTATACATAAATGATCAGGATGAAAAAAGAAATTGATTAAGCCATGTCTGTCTATCCGTCCGTCTGTCCGTCTGTCCGTCCGTCCGTGTACACGATAACTCGAGCAAAAATTGAGATATCTCAACGAAATTTGGTATGTAGGTTTCCCTTAATCCAAGGTAGGTTGGTATTGAAAATGGGCGAAATCGGACTTTAACCACGCCCACTTCCCAAATAACGGTAATTTCCAGAAATACGAAAACTGCGATATTTTAGTAACTACTGAAGATAATTCACTCAAAATTGACATTTACAATAATTTTTAGACGAAAAATAAGAATATTATAAATTTTTGGAAAATGGGCGTAGCCACGCCCACTTATGGTTACATGTGTATATCTTGGTAACCGCTGCACCAATTTCTACCAAACTTGGCACAGTTGTTGGCCTTCGCACAACATACCAAATGGCGGAAAATTTTTAAAATCGCTCAGTAACCACGCCTACTTCCCATATAACGGTAATTTTCAGAAATACGAAAACTGCGATAGTTTAGTAACTACTGAAGATTATTCACTCAAAATTGATATTTACAATAATTTTTTGACGAAAAA